CTGTTCCATAACCTTTTCCTCCGGTGTCTTCCTCACCTCTGCCAGCTCCTTGTTTTCACCGTCTTCTTCTTCTTGGCATCCCCAGTTCCTGTCTGTGATCTCTGCTGTCTTTCTACCTCCCTTCTCATCATCTTCTGATGCTTTCTCACCACCCCTTCCTACCAGCATCCCTGCAGCTTCCACGTGCCAGCCCCCAGATTCTTTCTCTCCTCATTTCCTACCTCCTACCCTTCTACATGGCAATCAGCACGCTCCTCCTCCAGGTAGTCTGACATCACATCTAGCCACGACTTGGAGAGAGGCTCACCACAAGTTCTCACATGTCCAAAGCTCAGTGGAGCAACTGCAGATAAAGCCTTGCTCAGCGAGGGATGCCTGGGACAGCACAGGCTCTCCTGCTCCCTGGGACTGTGCACACCACTGCTTTTTGGAGATAAAGACCTGATTAGCTCTGGGTAGGTTTTTTGTTTGTTTGTTTTTATTATTTTTTTCAAAAGGGTAGCAACAAATTACATATTGACCCCTTTCCAGACAAGTATCAAGGCCCTCTAAAATGGTCAGTGACAATATAGTACAAAAAAAAGAAAAAGAAAAAAAGAGAAAGAGAAAAAAAAATATACAGGGCAAAGCATTGTCATTTTCCTGAACTTATTCTCAGAAACCAAAGAATCATTTTAGCCAAAACTTAAAAATTTAATTAATTAATCATGCTGAAGCAAGAGACCTAGGATGGAAAATTTTAGGCTAAATACTCAGTGACTGGCAATGTTACAAGCAACTACAAGGAAAAAAAAAAATCTGAATAACACGAAGTGCTGGCTAACTTTACCCAGCGCTGCCCTTGATATGCAGATTCTCAGAAGCGCAATACCCCTCCTGTCAAATTTATCACTGTGGTAATGCTGGTACCAACTTAGTGAGAGTTTTGCCTGAATAAAGGCTAAGAAAAATATTGAGTAAGGACTTGGGACGTTGCCTGCTAAAATCATGGTGCAAATAAAGTGCAATGGCACTGCATGTTGTGTCTTACACGGGCTGTACTTCCTTGTCATTCGGGAAGCCCAGGTAGTTTACAGAGCACATGAGATCAGGAAGTCCATCAAGATGTTCCTGGCATAGATTAGTCACAAGACTATCTATCCAAGGGTCAGTCACATGTGTGGAAAATAAAAAATAGCAGCTGACAATCGGTTGGTCTCTGAACATAATCAATGTGCACTGTAATACTCCATGAATCACACAGTGCACACATGCATTGAACCTCCTTCATGTCAAGAAGAGGATTTTTGTGTAAATCCAAACAGCTAAGTACAACTCTGAATTACAAAACATAGAGGAGGGACCTCTCTGCAGAACTGCCAGCATCGTTTCCCTTACAGGCAGATGGCAAAATTGCCATAAAAAGACACTTGAGGAGGAATTTGCCAGTAACACTTGGAGGGGTGTAAAGAGCCTGTCCCTCTAAATTGGGGAAGGAAATGTCAAGCCAGCAGATCCAGATTTTTATATCCCTGTATAGATTTATCCTCAGAGAGGGGATTAAAGTCTTTGCATTTAAATAAATAAATAAATAAATCAGCAGTTTGGGGATACATCATTGCAGAATCACGTCTAGCAACCCAGCTTCAGTCAGCGTGACGGGGGGAAGCTGGCGTCACACCCGCCAGCCCATCGGCAGGGAGATGCAGCAGGCTGCTGGGTGGACACGTACAGATCATCCATCTAGGCATGACGAAAGAAGAACAGACATTTGGCATCGGTGGTTGCCATTAGATTCGCTGCCTCTCCCAAGGTGCTGGTGACTAAGAGAATCCTATGTCGACCAGTTTCTGCCAGACAGAACATTTGTTTCCTGCTCATGCAGAATTGTCTTTTATTTATTTTCACATCCAAAAGACAAGCCAGCTAAATTACACACACTTGTGCAGCAAAACCCAGAACGTGGGGCTATTCCCACAAGAAAGACTCAGAGACCTGTGGCATGGGAAAGAACGGACCATGAGGGGAGGATGAGGAGGAGGGCTCTTCATGGGCCATCACAGAAGACAAATAATGCTGACCAAATGCAGAACCTGACTGCACAGGCCTATATTATGTAGCCCAGAAGTTCAGCCAGGTATTGCTGAACCATGGCAAGGTTCCCATCCCCTTCGCTAGTCCCACAGGAGTCCACACCTAGGTGACACAGGGAGGGAGGTTCAGGACTCAACATCCAGCAAACAGCAGGCTCTAAGAACTGTCTCACCAGGCTGCATGGTTTATTTTTGGTTTCTTCAAGACTCCTTCTGCTGCAGACTCCCAGCAGAAGAACAGACACAGAAATAGGCAGTGTGAGTGTCGCCTTCCCCAGATAGATTTCACACTTGTAAGGCACAAAGAAGGAAACCAACGTCACTTTGATCGAGTGCTGTGGAGTAGGGTTAAATGATGACACACCACTCGCTCCTGCACGACACCTCGTCAGTTTAGCATACTCACGCCTGATCTCTGAGTGTTACCCCTTATAAATAAAGGAAAATATTTTCAGGAGTGTGCAGGTGACACAGGAGCCCAAGCCCCATCACGGCTCAGTGAGATGTTGCATCAGATTGTAGGCACATAACAGAGGTACTTAACAGGTCGATTACCCAGGTGTCGAGTGGGACAGATGCCACCACAAGGAACCTGGAGCTGAATGAAACACTTTCTGGAGGTGTCCATCTCCCCTCACAGAGAGCTGAGGCTCACTGCACCAGCTCACAACCGAAATGTGCCCATGAAACCATTTCATCAGGGTATATTAACATCTGCCCCCCTAAATCCTGGTGAGCAGCACTTCCCTCCAGAAATGCACCTACGGCTTGGCTGGGCTGCTCAAGGACTGCAGCTCCTCACTGGGACTAGGAGCCCCAAATCTAACCCTGGTGACACAAAGCAAAAAGTGTTTTTTTCTAGCAAGGCCCCCCAGCAGCAACATGTTCCCAGGACATGACACCCTGACGGACAGCACTGGGTGGCTGTGTAGCACTGAAACACCAGAGACGCTGCGAGCTGCACGGGGAGCCCAGAGCACAGCATCTGTCCTGGGAGGAGATGTTTACACTGGCTGTTTCACAGCCAGCTCACCGCTTTTCTTCCCAGCTCATGAAGGTGCTGCCTCCGCCCAATGTTGATCAGAGCACACGAGACCCGGTGCCAATGCTGCCTGCAGGCTGAGGGGGTTTCAGGTCCCATCTCCCAGGAAAGATGGAGCAATAGGGCACGTGGAGGTACAGGTGTTCTCCTACAATCACAGGGGCTCAGTGAGCCTAGGAATTAGAGGTCTAAAGGCCCTCTATAACAAAAAGCATGCTCTGCAACCTAGAGCAGCAAGGTCACACGCTGCAGCATCTCATTCCTCCAGCACAACTGGCTCACACCAAAGGCCTGCAATAGGCACAATGGGTTGTCCTTACACCAGCTCCTCTCCCAGAGCCCAATCGTGCCACATTCCTGCTGAATGCAGGTGATGCAGCAGGTCTGTATGTCAGCATCACCACAGGAGGAGTCCCATGCTTGGGATGACTTCTCCAGCAGCATCATCTGGAACGGTGCACCTGTGCCTTGTACTGTGAAGCAGAGGCCCTCAGTCTCATAAATCCTGTGGGCGTCAACCGCTGCCACATCAAACATTGTCCCTGCTGTTACTTGTGTGATCTGCGTGATCTGCCAGAGAACAGGGGACATGTGAGGCCATCCTTAGGTGTGAGCACACGGTTCCCCTAGAACGACAGCTGAAATATTCACCGTGACATATTAAAATAAACCAACCCTCCCTCCTTCAGAGCCAGCTTGTGAACATGTAGGGTGTGTGTAGTCGGATGAATGTCACTGCCAGATAACGACATCTCACACAATAATGCAGTGTGAAGAGCCCAAGTGAATGCCAGTTAGTGATCGCTGTCACGTCAGTATATTGCAAAAGAGCGACTGCTCTGCTCGCTGTTGCCACAGTGTGATTTTGGAGAACCTCAGCACTCACCCCTGAGCAGCTTCTGAAACTGTCCACAGGGAATGTTTCTCTGCTTTCCCTTTGTCCTTGACCATATCTTTATACCAGGTGATTATAAGTGTAATCATGTGCGGGGAAGAAAAAAAAAAAAAAAAAAAAAAAAAGCCACACAATAAAACAAGCTTGGATTAGAAACTGTTTTCTGGAGCACGCAAAGAGAAAATCTTTGCCTGAAACAAGAGTTTGTTAGAAATAATTGCACATAAATAGGCAGTGATATTTCAAGAAGCCGGTCTACGATCCTCTAACCAAAATCCCTGTTCCCATCATCTCATTTCTCAATTTAACCTCAGACTTTGCCAGTTCCCTAGCTTAATCAGAGTTCTCCCCTCCATGATATCAAGAGGGAGCAATAAGGCATAAGGGGGTCTGGAAAAGAGGAATTCAGGCACAGACTGTCTACATGAAGATCCCTTCCCACTGCTTCTGCCTCTTTCCATTTAGACTGTCAGCTTTGCAAAGAAAGGCTATGCACTTTCCTGCAAGCTTGCACAGCGTTTGCACAAAGGTCCCGCACCCAACATTTAAACAGTTGTAGCTAAACAGAGTAAAGTGCCTTACTGTGGGTTTTTCTTTCCTGGGGTAAGGTGCATGCAGTGGGAATCTTTTGAGATCCTTAGCTCTTCCAGCATTTCCCCCTCTGTATTCCAAGTTTTTGTGTGATTAAAATCGTAGTTCAGCCAGACTCAGATGAACAAAGAAGTGACCACGAAGAGTTAAGTCTGTTGACATAAACTGATTTATTTCTGGACTAGAGTCCTATTTCCCATCCTGCTTTGCACCCTCAGTTTTACTGGGCAAAATAAGTCTAAATAGTTGTTCGGTGCCAGACACAGCCACCATGGCTGAGGAACGGAGAAGATTTAGCCGCTCCAAACCATGGAAGCAGCCATTGGAAGAGCTAGTTTCACAACACATGGGAAGCTGTCAGATGCCTCCTCTGACTGGGAAAGACACAGACTTTTCAGAGTAGATTTAAATCCAAGAGAAATATTTATTTTAAAAGATAACAAAGGATTCGCTGTTGACAATAAGATGGTAACAAGCAAGGCCATGCAAGACACGCTTTTCACCCATAACCCACATATGTTCAGGGAGTGTCTCACCCCAGTCCAACATCTGTCCAGGTATTTGAGCAATGACTTCAGCAGAGATCAGCACTTGGTAAACATCTACATGAGCTGGGGCAGTACAGCCAGACCTAGGGGTGGCAAAGAGAGTGTAGGCTTAGGTTGTAGCTATCCTGCAGCAGGAGGTCTGAGAGCAGCAGCCCACAGCCAGCTTTACACAAACAACTGGGGCATGAAGAAGGCTGTGTCTTTATTGCTGCTGTCACTTGAGCCCTTGAGAAAGCAAGAACATCCAGACATTGTCTGCTAGACCCACTTGTGCTGGAGCCTTCCAGGTGTCATGAGCATCTAAAACCAAGTGGGAACCCCTTTTGGTATCCCATAAAGGGCTTTCTAAAGAGAGTCCTTCTGAAAAGGATCCTAGTAGTAGTAGATGGTGACTCTCTACTTTTTTATCTTGCACAGCTGAAGACGCACATCCAATGGTAGCATGTTGTCTCTCAGAAAGCTGAGCTATTTCTGAGATGCCATACTTTCATATGGCTTCCAGAAACCCTCAGGACATCTCTATAAGTCTCCCTTCATTCCTTGTATGATACAAAGCTGAGGTCTCTGAGGCAATATATTACTGTTTAAAGAAATATTTTTACAGAAAAAAAAATAAAGAGAAGCATCATTAACAAGCACTGCATATATCACATTTTGCAGAATGTCCAATGGACAGTGCAAGGATTTGGTTCTTGAAAGTTGATTTTTTGGCTTCCCCTCAGTGAAGAGAGCAGCATGGTGCCACCTTGGGTTTTAACTCATCTGGCTTCTCTTTCCATCCTTTCCACAAGCCTTGTGAAATACTATTCCCAATCATAGTTCCAAGAGTTATTTATTTACTTATTTGTGAGATGTAGAGTGCAGGTTATTGTGCAAATGTTTTTTTTTCCTGGTGTTATTTTTACCTTATTTTTATAGTGTAAATCCAATATTTCTCTTCTGGTCATAAAGTCTGTCAAGAATCCAGGATAACAGCGGCAATTCACATACCTCACTGAGCACAACCAGATTTACCAGGTCAGCAACAATATATCTTTAGGATGTCAGAATGCATCACCTATGGCTTTATTATAATTCCCCTCTGCCTGAAGTTGGGGTTCTAGGTCCAGCAGACAAAGAGTTTAGAGCGATGGTATGCTCTCACTTTTCTATCCATTAGCGCTACAAGAATGCACACAAACCTTAGAAGCAACCAGTAAATAGCTGCCTGGATCGAGCTCTGTGAGTACTTTAATCATCATATGGTCTGAGAAACCTCCTGGGCACGTGTGTGTTTCTGAGACAGAACGCAAAGGTAACCCAGCCCAACCAAGCATTTCAAGGTCTCCCACATCAGTGCATCAAGTGCTGAGGGAACAAAGACAGGAAAGGGAGAGAGATGTGTCATGGGCTGGAGAAACATCTTCTGGAGAAATCAGGAGACGGGTACTGGGAAGGTAGGTGGTCAGTTCCCATTGCAGAGGCCCTTCATGACACTGAGACACACATTTCCCCTTTGACACATCGGAAACAATTTCAGCTGCCCACACTGCAATTCCCCCTCTGGAAAAGGGAGAATCTGATGCTCTCTGTTCCGCTCATCTCCCACATGGATCAGTCCCACCAGCGCTCGGGTGCTTGCCCAGGTGCTTTCGGCATGGGGACCAGCTGTTGGTGTCTCAAGAGGGGGACATCACAGAACATTACAGCAGCTGGTGCCTAATGAGAGAACAGGCTGTGTTGCAGAAGCCTCAACTGGATGAAAACTGAGCCTGCCATGTCCCATTTTCCCAAGACCAGCCTGAGGAAACCAATGGATACAGCAAGGAAGGAATGGGTAGGCTGGTGCTTCTAATGGCAGTGCAGAGGAGTCCCATAGTGGTTGTTATCCCTGCAGCTAGAGGTGTTATCTGATGCAGGTAGGACTCTCATCTCCCTTTTTGCTTCTGATGGTGCAGGTGAGCAGCCTGCCAACCTGAGACTTCTTTCCCCTGGGGAACACTGGGTGGTGCCTCAGTGCTGGCCAGATCAAAAAGGTCTCCAGAAAGATTTGTTCTTTCTCAAACATTTTGCAGCATAGCCCCTCTTTCTCAGAGGCTCGTTGAAAAAATGCCACTTCATCAACAGCAATGAGTGACAGGGTCCCCAGGACACCCTACTTGTCTCCTGCAGGTTCATCAAAACACCCACTTCACTGCCAAAGTGCACATTACAAATTGTGAAGATGTATTCAGCTGGGCACCCCCTCCTCCTCAGCACCCAGGCAGTCCTTCCCCCATTTACAGCAAACAAAGAGAAATATTTGCAAAGCCATGGGCATGCACAGGGGAGCAAGTGCTGCTGCCGCTCAGTGCAAAGTGGGGATATGAAGGGAGACCCCACAGAGAGCCTGGGGAGCCCAGAGCTGCTGTGAGAGAGATCACTGGAGCAGCTCCTCCCCGCATCTAGGTGGCCTCATTGACTTCACCCTGCCCCGGCTGGGTTATGCCTCCTGTGCCATGTTTCCTGAAATAGGGATCCACATGTCTGGCTCGATGAGAGCAGGCTGTCCTAGCAGTGTTTAGAAGAAGCTATGTAAGTGGAAAGCATTTTTACATGAGCTAATTTGACATGTAGCATTTCAGGAACTTACAATTTATTCCATTCACATTTCTAGCCAGAGACAGCGTCTTTATTTTTATGGTTTGTGGGGGGGGGGGAAGAAAAAAAAAAAAAAAAAAAAGCAGTGCAAGAAAAGAAAAAGAAAACTGAGCAAATAATAACATGTATGGGTGTGTAATACTCCAACCGCATGGCTACAGCAACATTTGGTCCCATTGACCTTTTTGCTCAAATTAAGGTAATTACTCAGCTACTGACAATAATCTGCTGGGTTATGTCTGTGGATTAGCCTATACAGAGGGGTATGATAAATACTTTTATAGTTTGACACATACAGATGACTCCAGGCTTGATCCAAAGTCTAAGTACAAACTGTCCTTAAGTGCAGAATGATTAAACCTTAATTAAAGATATAGAAAGATAAATAGATGGATAGATAGATAGACAGACAGACTACATGTGTTAAAATAGATCTAGTCAGGAAATTTCTGCTATAATTTATTTCTGAGGGAAACAGACTTTCTACCAACATCAGCAGTTTTTGTTTCCCAAGAGATTTGTTTTTAATTTTTCCAGTAGGAAAATCAGACCCATGTATTTTAGATCAGATAATTCAGTGTGAATGACGATATGTTATGTCGTTGACCTGGCTCAAAATACTCTCTTTCAAGTACATTTGCATACTGTGATGCACTGTCTCCTAGGCATTTGCATTTCTTTCCCATAATATAGAAGTCTTCTGGTTCATATGAGGAAACGGGGCTACCAATCAACCTGGGCCATGTGCTTCCATACAAAAATCCTTTGTAATGCTGAACCGACTCAAAAAGAAGCACTCTGGAAAAAAAATAAAAATAAAAAATGAACAAACTGACTCAGAACATTGCACCCTGGAACAGTTAAATAGAAATTTAACTTCCATTCCCCTCAGACTTATCAACAAAAGCAATTTCAAGATGTAAATATTTTAGAAGTTTTGTTCAAAAACCTCTGTATTTCAAATGTACATTTCACTCTTGTCATAAAGGAAATGTTGAAACATCTATTTCATGAAATAGAAATTCTGATTTTTGTTTTGTTTTCTTGCTGCATTGCATACACACACACAAAGAGAAGTAGTATTTTCCTAGCTCAAGTTATGAGGCTGATATGCTGTTATTTAAAAATAAAAATAATTTAAAAAAAAATCTCTCTCACCTGGAGACCTCATATTGTGATAGAAGCCAGCAGGCAGCTAAGCACCACACAGCTGTTTGCTCACTCCCTCCCACACTTAGTGGGATGGGAAAGAGGAAAAAAAAGTTAAAAACTCATGGGTTGAGATAAAGATATTTTGATAGAACAGAAAATGAATGGAGAATCATAATAATGATAATGATAAAAGAAAATATTAAGCAAGTGATGTATATCTCATAATTTGCATATTTACACAGTGTTGACTACCCTTAAATGAGCCTTGGAAACTTTTGCTGCTTGAGCCTGGATATTGCATCTGTGCACTATTTCCGCTTACAAAGGTAAAGCACCCACTGCACTCTGCTAGCACTGATTTTCTGTTTACTGTGAATGAAACACCTGGGATGAGACACACAAGCCCTCAGGTCATAAGGCTTGTTGCATGACACTTTGATATTAAATTCTGGCATTTAATATCATTTAGAGCAAGCCCTGGAAGCTTGCTTGCAAAGCAGCAAGGTTCACCCCTGAGGCCAAGCTGCCTGCAAGCCCTTCTGGTGCTGAGCCATCTGGTCCCAAGGCTCAGTTCGTGTTTGCAGTCTCCCACTGTAATTTGCACACCCACAATTTGACATCTCTTGACAAAAGCATAGGTAGTATTTTTGTAAAGATTTGAGAGCTCATATTTTTACTACTATTTTTCATCCTAAGGGTTAAGAGCACTTACCTACCCATCAGAGGTGCTGGGAAATATTCACTGGTTCTGGTGCAGTCTGGAGCAAAAGATGGAGGTTTTTACTAACCCACTAATTCTGAGGCAAGTGTGGAATAGGCCTAGGCACTACTTGTTGTCCTTTAAGAAGAAAGAGATAATCCCAGGTAGAAGCAGGAGCTGGAATAAGACCTATGAACTTGAGGGTGAGAAAATGCAGAAAGCATTGACGCTCCAAGCATACAGGTGGAAGCTGGGAGGAAGTTAATGTATGTGTCTTATTCATGGTGTTTTCAGACCAGTCTTATCAGCTAGATCCTCAGCTGAGGGATATTTTGGGCCAAACCTTCAGCAGGTGTGAAGCAGTGCAGCTGCAGGGATAAGCCCTGGCTTAGCAACAGAAGAATCACAGGAACCAGAAAATGACTCCTTCCCTGTGACTGGCTTAATCAGAGTTTAGCTATCCCTGAGTGACATTTGCCCTAATCTCTTTCAAGATTTCCAGTGCCCTTCTGGTCAATCTAAGACAAGCCAGGAGACCGAATCCATGGTCTAAGCCGGTAAATCCATGCAGTAGCAGTGATTTACACCCATTGCTTGTTTACTCCTTGAAAACACATTCCAGAAATACCCACGGGGTTCTCATTTTCCTGCTGCTTCTGGAGGTCTCACCTAAATCCAGAAGGCAACAAACCTCTGACACCACAAAAGTCCCTCTGGTTTTCTCTCCCATCGCCACCAGACTGAGCACAGCAAGCACAAGAATCCAGCAAAACAAAGCCAAACAGCTTCGTGCTGTTATTTTAAGCCAGGAGAGGGGATGGGGGGAGGCGGGGGGAGAACAAACTGCTCTGCGTAAGCTGGGAAATCATTTAGTTTTGGCCGATGGCCTCTTGTGGCTGTGGTTTCCACAACATCTCTGTATTCTATCTGTGTCAAGATGGAACCAACCTCCTGAAATAGACTTAACAAGCTAGACAGGAGCTATTTTAATACCTGGAGCTTGTTCCCTTTAGACTTTGTTGAGTGAGGGGAGAGGGTGGAAGAGGAGAGACAACAAGCCAGGATGATGTTATTTTAACACGTGCACCAGAGCTGTCAAAGCATAGCAGTTCGGCTGCCTTAGCACACACCCCCATCTGCCCCATCGCTACTACGTGCAAGGATGCACAGCCTGAGCTAGCACCCGCATAGACCAGAATTAGCCTCATTTGTGTATGCACACGCACACGTCTTACTGGAAAAGCGTCACGGTTTCCTTCGTCTCACACCAAGGAGGAAGGGTGACTTAATGTCTCCAGATGCATGCATGCAAGGCGTGATGGGTGACCCAACAAAAAGTGAGATGGACCCTTGTGACCCAAGCCACATACACATCACTCCCCCCAATCATGCCACTAAAATAACTTGACCATCCCAGTTCTGCTCAGGACTGCTTCTTCCCAGCAACAGACGTTGCAAATCTGGAAAGGGTGACAGATCCAGGTGCTTGAATGCTCTGGAACAAGAGCTTTGATACCATCTGGTGCTGTGTGATAATAGGGTAGACTTTCACAGACTTCATCCACTGAAGCAATACAGACCGGTCCTTTCCCCAAGCCTGCCTGGTTCCCAGTTTCATAACAGCTCAAACCACAACTTCCCCTCCTTTCTTCACTGGTTTTGCAGGATTAAATAGTCTGTCTCAAAAATGTTCTCCCAAACAGACTGTCAGTGTCATCCCAGACCCTTTCAAATCTCAGTGCACAAGGAAGCTTTAACAAATGCTCCTGGAGTGTTTTTCTATGTTTCTGTGCTGGAGGATTCATCCTGGTGTCTTGTAATGGTGTACTGTGATGAGGGATCAGCCCCTCCATGGCAATCCAGAACCAAGTTATCCTGATATATACTGGGCACCTGTGGCCTGATATGATGCCACAAAACAGCAGATCAGCTATACCCCTGACGCACAACAGCTTCCCTTTCTTTAATCAAAGAGACCAAGGCCATATACACCTTATATCACCTTTAGGTCAGAGAATAACTTGCTTCAAGGAGGATATTCTTCAGGAGCAAACCAAGCCCCTTTGGCAGCCTGTCTTACTGCTGAAGTCACAGGGCAAAAAGCTTTAACTACCCCAGTATCTGGATTCCTCTTTATGTTTGCACACCTTCTGTAGTGAAATAATGTCTGAATCTTCTTATACCTCTGCATTATGCAGCAAATCATATCAAAAACATATGTGTGTCACTGTGCTGCTTCTTCTTTCAAGGTTAACTCTAATTTCTTTGCCCTTGCAACCAGACCTCCCCAACACAGCCAGTGAGGTCATCTCTATCAGATGGAAAGAGCTAAAACGTGACACAGGCGATCTCAGCTCCATTGGCTGCTTATCTAAGTACCTGCAGCCAAAACAGAAAGCTTACTCAGGCTGCCAAATAAAAATACCTCTTGTAGGCACATTCCTTGCAGAGTACGTGAGAGGGAGAGCTGAGGAGACAGCAAGGGAGGGCAGCAAGCAGTGAAATAGAATAAAAAAAAAATACATAGGTAGATGGATGGATGGATAGATAGATAGATAGAAACAGACAAGAGAGTAGGTGAGAAAAAGAAAAACACAGGTGAAGATCTATGAAGATAGAGACAAGGAGACAAGGGACATGGGGGACATACTCATTCCAATAGCAGTAAATGTCATGGCAGACAACACAACTGTATGATACAGTGCTTTCTTAGCTATGCACAGTGAAATCCTAGCCCTGTGGAAGACTATGGCCAAAATCCCATTGACTTCAGTAATGCCAAGACAAATGGAGCTGCCCTGTGTCTCCCAGCACCAGCTCTGGCCCTTCAACCTGTCAAAATCACTCCTGCAACCTGATGCTGCTTCTCCAGTTTCACCCATCACACTGCCAGAACCAGGCCCAAAGGGGCAAGCAGGGAATAACTGCATAAAAGGCCAATTTCTGTTTTCACTGTTTTCCATGTATGGTGACAAAGCGGACAGCCAAGAGCAGAATTTAGCACCTGCAGCCCATCGCCCTTCAGAAAGGCCTTCAGGCCCAGCAGGATTTCCTTCTCAATGTCACTGCACCTTGTTTCTGCCTAGGGAAAAGGAATGACTCCTAATTACTACAAAGGGTGGCTAACCAGCTCCAGCTTGCTGGGAGCTTTATCCAAAATAACTGGAAAGATTTCCACTGCTTTCGGAGAGCAAAGCGTGCACTGACATCAAACTGATGCAAAGTGGCAGAGGCACTGCAGCCAGCAGAGCCAGCTCTCACAACAGGGTGGACTCTGAGAGCTTGCTCTGTCTTATTTCTCACTGTGATTTGATTACACAGTGATCATAGCTATGCAATGTGGCAGGGCTTAAAACCTTCAAAGCAGAAAGAACTCCTTGCAGTGCAGAGCCACGGCAGGACTGGCTATCACTGGGACAACCGAGTTTTCTGCCTTACTTCCCTGTCTTCCCACTCTATCCCCAGTTAAGCTCAAGGTCACAGTCATTTACTTCAAGGTGTCCCGCTGCAAAGGCCCAGGTAACCAAAGGACCAGCTAGCACTTGAGGTGAACATCGTGACTGACAGCTCGACTTCTCCAGCATTCGGGAAATCTCAGCTGCAAGATGAACCTTCTTCCAGATGGCTGGAACAGACCCAGGCTCACTGATGGAGTGATCTTCTGCAAGAAGACATGACGTGCCTTTCTATGCCAAGTGTGAGGGCATTTCTTCAAATCCTTCTTTTATCCTTCAGAGATAAAAACCAAAAGTGAAAGGAAAAATGAATGTCAAAACTTCAGCGTAGCAAAACATTCCACCCTCATTCTGACAGCAAACATACATGTTCCTCATGCTGCTCAGGTGTTCAGAAAATGGGCGATGAAAGGAAAGGGTTGTGAGGATTTCTGCACAGGACCAGCTCAGCAATTCTCATTAGGGAAATGAGAATTAAGTAGGGAAAAATGAATTGTGTTTCCCTAGGACACAGTGCTGGGTCAAATAGGTGGGAGGAGTCCACCTTGTTGATATTTCTGCGTCTGGAGTGAGGAGAAAACATGCTCCCCAATTCTTCTCAATAACTGCACACCCCAGCACCCCTGCTTTAACCTCAGCACCAGTAACATTTTGGGGTTTTGTGCGGTGGCATTAGCAAGATAGGCAGTAGTTTATGGCCATTTTGCTGACTCTGCAAACCAGCTCTGCTAGGCATTTTTCTACTTTGTGTTTAGTGTGTCATATCTTCAATGAGAGAGAAGAGAAGAGAAGAGAAGAGAAGAGAAGAGAAGAGAAGAGAAGAGAAGAGAAGAGAAGAGAAGAGAAGAGAAGAGAAGAGAAGAGAAGAGAAGAGAAGAGAAGAGAAGAGAAGAGAAGAGAAGAGAAGAGAAGAGAAGAGAAGAGAAGAGAAGAGAAGAGAAGAGAAGAGAAGAGAAGAGAAGAGAAGAGAAGAGAAGAGAAGAGAAGAGAAGAGAAGAGAAGAGAAGAGAAGAGAAGAGAAGAGAAGAGAAGAGAAGAGAAGAGAAGAACCAGGATCTATGGCAAGTGCCGGACGAAGCACCGATACACAGCCCCGTGGCTCCGGCACTTTAGTTTCAGCAGATGCACATACACCGAGCGATGTGTTGACTCAAATGCTGTCATGGGCATAAATGGCATAAACATTGCCTGATTGCAAACAAGTGCCACCTTGTGAGGCACATGTGCTCAGAACCAGGTGCGTGTCACTTCAGTAGCGCTGGAGGATATTACCCTGACTTAGCTATAAAAAGAAGGAGGGGGGTGGACACTGCAGCAGGTACTGGAAATTGTTCTTGGCTCCTAGCAGCATTGTTTGATCTGTTCAGCGGGTCATGTGCCAGCCAGCCGCCTCTCTACGTGTGTTTAGGCAGCTCTTGCATGTCTGAATTCTCCTGGACAGATGGTTGTTTTAACTCCTTCAGCTGCCTTGACCTCCAGCAGGAAGGCACAGTTAGAAGCAGCAGAATGAAACCCAGCAGGGCTGGAAAGCAGCAAAAGGCTTGAGTTAAGCGAAGAGGGTTTTGGACTTGAGAATGAAATGGTGAATTTGCAGGGACCCTCAAATTAGTGGTGCTCGGTGCTGTTGCTGTTGATAAAAACAGACTTGATGGTCATACTCCTGAGAGGTGTTTCCTAACAAGGCTTTGATGGAAAATTAGCCAGGGCAGCCTCTACTCTGTCAAGCTTTGAAATCCTGCCATGGAAACATGTAGCACAGGCTGAAGAGTCAAGGATAACAGCAGTATATAGCACAAGCAAATAACTAGCGGGGAAAGGTTCATATGCCTGTCATGCCGTGCATCTTCAGTTGCATGCATCCCTCATAAAAGCAAATCCTAAACCTAGAAAGCTTGTAAAATTGACACTCTCCACTGGAGCCTGTGACTAGCCCGTTGCTCTGAATCACACAGCTATGACCCCCTCCCTTCCCATGCCTTACCTTGTTGTCTGGCAGCTGTTAGTGTGCTGCCCCTGCATTAGTGCTGTAGGGCTCCCCTACAACAGGCTGAGGTGGATACCCAGACAGCACATTGCCTCAGGGAGAGTTTTCCAGACTTCCTGCCTCCCTGTGAGTCTTTTCTTCAGAAATCTTCCCTGATGGATCTGAGGCACGTCTTGATATGATGACCTGTGCTCTGTTGCCCCTACCACATATTGAAGGCATTACACCAGCAACCCCTCTCTCTCTCTCTTTGCCCCATTCTGCTCTATGGGTCCCAAATCTCAGGTCCCTGGAAGAGATCCAGAATCATTCCTCAGGGTTTATTCCAGCCTGCCAACAGTGCTGCTGAGAGCTGAGCACACCTTTCTATTTCCCATCTCTTTGTCCAGAGGATGAGCTGGTTGCAAGGTGGACGGTGACATCCCATGCTTCAGGCAGTGCACTTGTGTTTGCTCTGTTGTAGCCCGAGGAGACTGAGCTGGCATCCTGGGAATTTCAAACATCAGTGAAGACTTCTCTGTTCCACTCCCTCCTTGCTTCTCCTCTGTGGGAGATCTGCTGCCCTTTCATGCAGCTCAGTAAAAGCAAGGGCAGAATCCTGATCATGGAAAATGAGTTAGGAGAATCCTGCAGAAAATGGAAAATAAATCAGGGGTGAGGATGTCCTTCCACTCAACAAAGAGGCCTGGGGCTGTCGTGATCACACAGTGTCTGGAGAACATCCATGACATGGGGACACCACCCCTGACTGTTTTGCTGGTAAAACCACAACACACTCCCACCGGTACCTTCACAAGCTACATGGTTGTTCCGTGTTGACCAGTAGGCTATTCTGACCCAGGGTGTCACTGAAGTTAGGAGACATGCAGTGGTGTATAAATGACAACAGTGAGAGGCTGTAATTGACAACAACGGCGAGGAGAACAGCCTTTTGACTTTCACCATCTCAGCTAACCCAACCACCTCCTCCCCACAGAGCTTGTCTCCAAAGAAGATCCTAGCTGCTAGCTGCAGGGCCCTGAGGAGAAGTCCTGGCTGCCTTGAGAAGCAACCTTTGTCTTTATGTCCTCCTGATTGACATCTGCATGGATTATGGGTTCTTCTGCCAGAGGAGAATAGGACCGATCTTCTGAAAGTGTGCTTGATTTCCCTTGGGGGCTCTGCACCTGTGGAAGATGTTGCCATTGTTGTTTTCTTTGTAGCTAGGGTTTAGGGAGTACTGACCTCTACAGAGAAAGGTCCCAGGTATTTCTTTAAGGTATATATCAATGTGGATACAAGGAGTTTCCCAAAAGGCTGTATTACAAGACACAACAAGCCCAGATGAGCTGGGGTGCTCAAATCAGCAACAACAATCTCACCTGGAAGTCTGGAGATTGGAGACCAGAGCAGAGCAGTGGAAAGACCCTTTTGCATCCAGTCCTCTGTTAGGACAGACAACCATGTCGCATGAATGCGCTCAAAAGCACCTTTGTAAATCAGGCTGACAGCTTCAGTCTATCAAAACACCCTACTGGAGTGGGAACTCTGCATGCCACCTAGCTGGCAGCCGTGACCTGGTGGCAGGGCATACCAGACTGCAGTCAGCTCCAGCAACCACCGTGGATTTGTGAGATCAGCACTGCTCCTGGTAACTGCCTCTATAAAATATCAGAAGCATCATGTCGGGACTGACTTTACCATTGAATTGTTTATATAAAATAGTAGCTTGAAAAGCATGAGGAACTTTTAGCCTTGTTAACTTTTCATGACCTACCCTTATGTGCTACCTGCAGCAGAGATAAGAACCATTCCCTTGCTCAAGCTCTCTATTGTCCACAGGTACCACTTTAAAAAAGAAGAAAAAAAAAAAAAAAGCCTTTTTTTTTTTATTTTATAAGGGAGGTGGGGGGAGAACATTAAACCTTTAAGGCTCAGAAATTATCTACCATATCGAAAGTCACTGTAGGCTTGACAAAATTCCCCTTGTTAATTGGGAGCAGCCTGCAAGGAATTACGAGGCAAAATCAAATATTTGAAATGCCTTTTCCTATTGTTATGCTGCTCTGCTTAACTGCCCTGGCAAACCTGCTGTCAGTTATAAATTTCTTCCTTGTGCCAAGCCATCCCAGCAATAACGAAACGTGCGTGCTCCTGAGTTACCCCCGGTTCCTGGCCTCCTGACAGATCACCCTTTCCTGCCTGTGCCTGTGGTTGGGCAGTGCCCTGAGATGTGTGCGTGTTCACAGAGGCTGCAGCCCGTGAAGAAGACACATGGCCATGTGTGGACTCCTCATCCACACTCCACCCACACCAGGCATCCTCAGGCATCCTTGCACTCGATGGCCAGGGCATTAATCCCCTTGTGCCTCCATGCTCTGATCCCTTCCCAGCCTTGCTCCTTCTGCTTCTCATGCCCTCCACACCAGCCTGCCCAGCTGTTTCAGCCCTGAGTCCCCACGCCTTGCCCTGGTCATGCAAGACTTCCTTCACTTGGCCATTTTGGAGCAAAAACACCTCGGTGAATGTTTGGTTTGAGCCAGTGAGGCCACTGATACGTTTTCTCACGTGCCACGTGCGATTCAATATGTCTTTTTCATTCTCCAACACAAACGTAAGGTCACTAGAAACTCAAATACCTCTCACTTGTCAAGCGATGACAGATTTCCCAAGACGAAATGCCTGATGCACTAACAGCTAACACAGCCTGGCCCCGGATCTTATGTTTGTCAAGATCACATGTGGCACCATGACTTTATCATCAGGAATATCCCCGAGCGTTAGTCAGTCAGGGCAGCCAGCCTCATTCAGGGGTTGACAAATCATCCGCAGCAGTTAGGCTCCTCACCCCACTAGCACCACCAACACTGGAGGGCAGATAAGCAGAGCAACATGCCCCCCTTTTTGCCAGCGTGTCCGTGGCACCACGGAAAAAGGTGCGAGGAGCCCCAGGCCCACGCCTATGGACTTTGTGTGGGAAGCCTGCTCTGTCGGAGGTGGTGCAGGAAGCCACACCTGGGAAGTACGGCTCTGCAGCTGTCAGCCAGCCCTCTGCCAGACCGACTGCCAGCAAGAATCACTCCAGGACGGAAGGACAGACCATCCTCCTCGCTTATCAGCCTGAGTCAGCGCCCGGGTGATGTGGGTGCCCTCTATCAGCAAGCTGCAGCTGGTTGCGTACTGTGTAGGGCCAGGAGAGTGGTGTGCACAGCCTCTGAGGAATGCACCCAGGTCGCTCACGTCCCTAAAGTGAAGATCCAGCATGGGCATCTCTGCTCCTCGCATCTGCACTCTGCAAGAAGGCAGCTTAGCACGGCTTCACCCTCAGAGCCTGAAAGGTGTAAGACTCAAATAAGCTCATCACAAATGCTTCTCAGGAAAAGCCAA